ACTCCCCCCCACCCCGACCCCAAAAATTCCAATTTTCTTCTTCTAATTTTGTTCTTTCTCTGACTCACTTATATAGTATATTTTTGACACTTTCAAAGGCTTGTAACTCTACTTCTGTTTAAYGAAACACATTCAAATTTGCCAGACTGTCTTACTAATATTTAAGTGCCTTCTCAGATGACAAAACCTTTTTGCTAATTAGTTTGAAATTTAAAACTTACCCCAGATCCTGCTCATTTTTGAAATGGCCAATAGTCCCCTTCACAGTTCCCTGCGCCATCTTGAAAGGTAGCCGAGCCTTTGTATCCAAGTGAGGCAAACRGTAAGCTTGCAATGTTAGAGACAATTATTCACRGGTCTCTATCATTGCAAGCTCACCGTTCATCTTGCTTCAATGCAAAGGCATGGCTACCTTTCAAGATGGCGCAGGGAACTGTGAAGGGGAATATTGAGTTTCCTTCTAAGAATTTAAAACCATGCTTCACATAATTTCCTCTTTCTTAATGTAGAGTTCCAGGAGTGTAGTTTCTTCAGATMTTGCCGCACAGTCTTCGTCATCTTCATGTGAAAATACTTCAAACAAGATTGAGCCACCAGGAACAAGCAGGCGACTCAAATGCCCACTGTGTCTGGAACTCCTTCATGATGTAACGGCTACTCCATGTGGACATCTGTTTGATTGGCAATGCATCACAGAATGGTGCAGTGAAAAGGTAATAAAAAAATTAACAATTGTTGGGTGAGGTGGAGCATGATTTTATAAATTATCAAGGTCATGTTGCAGGGCTTGAAATATCAACCTGCCAATAGCCAAAATGCAGGTCAAATCTTACTACTGGCAGGCTAAAACAATTTTGAACTGCTATGTGGAAAATAAATTAACATTGGCTTATTTGCATCAATTTTGAGAGGCACTTTGCATAAACACAATAGTTTTCATGCACAGTAAAAGGATAAGGAACTACTAAAATGCCCTCAAAATCGAGAATAGGAAACCAGTCAATTTCAAATGGCTTGACCCTCCCCCCCCACTCTCCCAACCCCATCCTCCCTCTCCCTACCCACTCGGTCCACATCAATAATTAAACCCTGCAAAGTTCTTAATATTATAACTAATCTTCAAGTAGAGTGCATACCATATATCCATGAAAGAGTTAACCAACAAAATTGTACAATTATTAATTAGTGTAAAGTTTTTTAGGTCTACGGCCTACTGAGTTCTACTAAACTTACTAATTTGTGCACATTTGTGCATTTTCTTACAAAGTTTTCAACAGATATATGGTATGTACTCTAGCCTTTCTCTCTTTTTTTTTACTCTTATTTTCCTTTTTTCCACAGCCTGATTGTCCTCTTTGTCGTGAACCAGTCCCCTTGTCTCGTCTTGTTTATCTGCATTGTTTTGAACCTACTTGATACTCTTGGTTGTTGACTACAACTCAATTTAAACAATAAGATGTGACAATTCCAGCATACTCTACTCAATCCTTCATGGCCACTGACTAGCATATGATCCTAGCATAGCCATAAGTTGCTACTTCTGTTGTGGTTGTTGTTGTGCTTTTTTCTACTTCTGTTGTTGTTGTCCGCTGTTATTATTCTTGATATCGACAGTGCTGTTACATCTTCTGTTGCTACTGCAGTTGTTGTTGTTATTGTTCGTATTCTTGTTATTGACAGTGCTGCTACATCTCCTGCTGCTCCTGCTGTTGTCGTTGTTGGTATTGTTATTAACAATGCAACATCTTCTGTTTTTGCTGCTCGTGTTGTCGTTGCTTTTGTTACTGTTTCATGTTGATGCTGCTGCGGTAGCAGTCGAGGTCGCAACTACTCCTTATTTTCTGTCCTTGCTGTTGTGTATCCTCGTTCCAATTCATAAAGTTATTAATTGAATAACACAATGTAGCTCTCAGGATTATTTTGCTAAGAGGAAACGTTTCGTATTATATCTTTATTTTAAAACAAAGTTGAATTTTTAAAAGTCTTCAATTTTTGACGTCTATTTTTAATGATACTTATACTCTATCATGTATAAACTTCCTATATTTGGAGTTTTTTTCAAGTTAAAGCTCACCATCTTCTCCTAAATTGTCCTTTTGCGATTGCAAATGTACTTGTTTTTTTTTTAGGTTTTTGTTTTTGCTTTAATAGAGTAATAGACCCCATGCTTATGACGTCAAAGCAGTTCAATTTGAAGGACAAAACGAATTTCAATCTCCTGAGAATTGGAAACCTATTGTCAAAAACTGATCATGAGTTCCATTGCGACGTGCGTGTTGCAGGGAGAGGACTCTATACTGGGGAGTATAGGGAAGTCCAACCATGGTTGAGATTTTAACAGCACATTTATTTTACTTGGAGCGAATGTCGAACCCACCGCAAATTCGCTTCTTGAACCCAGATCAACACTGTCAGCTTGGAACGCAACACGCATAAACATATGACCGATTCCCGTAAGGTGCAACATGTTTCTGCAGCCTGTGACATAATAGAAAATCGCGTTCGAAGCACAAAAAAAAAAAAAAAAAGGTAGAAGGTAGAACGATATCTTATGATTTTCAGTCCCCCCAGCTCGACTTGAATAACAAGATCTATACCTTCGCGCATTTTAACCTGCATGCCTCAAAAACTTACAAATGTTTTTCTCATCTGATTACTTCGCCGCTCTAAGCTGCGTATTGTTTTATTGCGATACCTCATTGGATCCTAAAGTTTGAGTTGTATTCGATGCAAACGCAAGTTTGGAGGTTGCATTGATCATAGTACGGTGCGTTATAACACTGAAATGATTGCATGTACCACTCCTCCCTCACGCACCTCTCCGCACCCCAATTAGCTCACACTTGCAACTACTGTAGACGACCAATATGAATTTACCAATATTATCTCATAACTGAGAGAAATAGCCCAGCTACCCTTCAATCTAATAATATTTCAACCGCACCCTTTCTTATCTGGCTTCAGTGAGATAGTACAGCCATACAGTATTTGATATTCTAAAGCACACCAAGTATTTCCAGCCTCATACCATTCGTATATTAGTTTTAAATGAGCGTTGAAAAGTCCTATTGTTCCCGGRTTACCTTTTTGTGTTCAAAATGAATAGAACATGAATATGCAAATGACTTTTGTGTGTATATTTTGAAGTATTGTAAATGTGCATTTATTATTCTGGGTCATTCGACTTATGATCAGGTTGAGAGTCAAGGAACAAGGCTTTGATTTTCGTTCATTCTCGTAACCAAATAGCCTTCAAAATGGTAAGTTTGTAACCATTCAGAGATTTACGTCCAAACTTTCTTTTCTTATCTCAATATTTTGATACTAAAAAGTTTAGAGGCGCGATTCATCGTATTTAATTTCTAGAACTCCAATTCGTGGTTGGCTGACTGCTCACTATCTGCAAACCAAGCTCTGAATGTACTGAAATCCTAAACTTAGTTCCCTACTAAATCCTCCGAAAATAATTAATAAGGCTACAGCTGTTTCCTAGCTCGGTATCTTAAACTGCTTTATCTTTTTTTCTGGACTTAAACGAGATATGTACTCCCTCGATATCTATGTTTTCGGCGTCAAATTCGCTGCCTGACTGAGTTTGAATATTTTTGAGACTCTCTAGTCAAACTTCTAGAAAAATATACCTTGTACCTTAGCCTAATGTACCTTAGCAGCTCACAATTTATCCTTAAACTCACAATATTTCTTCTGGTATAAAAGCAATAATATTTTGTATAGTTTTTAATCAATCGTCACTCATACTGTTATTATTAAAATGAAGAGTTTGCAATATGCAAATTGAGTGTTACTTGGATCTTTTTATTAAGATAAATTCAATTTTAAAATCTTGAAATATTTTGACCAATAATAAGGTCCCCGATAATCTTATTTATAAGAAAATATATAATAAGAAATGCAGAATAATTTTGTATCCTATTTTGGTAAAATTTCAAGTCATCGTGAACAAAATTATATTTAAACCATACCCCCCTTGGTAAAATATTGCCTATCCCCGATTGCTTCAATTCCACCTCCGAATATTGCTGAGAAATCAATATGGCTGAAGGTCGTGATACTCAAGCTTTACTTGTCAACTTAGATGAACAGCATATTCAGCAAGTTGAATCTCAAAGCCAGGATAAAACATCGTCTGTCGAGGACGGTAGTCGGGTAATGTAAAAAATCCCTCCATCGAAAATTTCTAGCGAATCTGTAGTATCGTTGTCAATCTYGTGAAGAACTCAATTAGCTTGTTTTAGCTTAAATATATTCTCTCTCTACTTCTGGATTTCCCATCTTTTCACATTTCGAGGACTAAAGTTTAATCTTTAATATTTTTGTATGAATAGAGCTTTCTTTCATTTGCAAATTTTAAAGATAATTATGTTCGAATGTTTCAAGGGGCTTTTTAGTTTTGTAGTCAGTTCTCGCTTGAAGGATAAACGGGAAAATCGGGAATGGACTGAATTGGAATCGGATTCTTCAGGAATAATCTTTATTAAAATTGTAGTGTTGCATATTCACATATAATTCTTTAGTATTAAAACAGGGGGAGGGGGGGCATGGGTGGCATATTAGTGAGAGTGTCCTCTAGTGTTCGCTAATGTGATTCACATTCTCTTCTGTGTTCGGTTCCAAGGATTTTGTTCTGGGTTGTCCAGTTTTCCTCTCTATCCTCAAAAATATACTAAAATATAATTTGATCTATTAGGTTGTAGGTGAAATTTACTGTGTTTAATTTTAGTAACCCTACCAAATATTATAATTTTTTTTCAATTTGACTTTCAAGGTGGAAAAACTGACCAAGTTGCAATTAGCAGGTAAAATCAAATATTTTTAAAAAACTTGTTTATTGCACCTATATTATTGCCTTATTTACATTCCCATATATCAATCCCCTTCACACAATTAGGTTTCATTTTATATAAATAAGTACTAATGAATAAGTCCTTAACTTTTGTGTTACTGCCAGACTTATTTTCATTGATAAATCCCAAAAATTCCATGAGTAGTCTTGAGTGTATGATATTTTGGATTCTTTAGCTTCATTTAGACCTCATACACACATGGAATCGAAAGTTTGGAATTTATCTTTAAAAATGGGTGCAACAGTCGCCCAAAAGTGGGTGTGGTTGATATGAGAAAACTTGGGCCTATTTTACAGTCAAGTGATTTTTGCAGTTATAAGTGTACATTGAACTTTGTTTGACAACTCACTCTAGACTTAACTAATTCAAGGATTGCAGAGCACCCTAAAAAGGGCAAGGATTGTAAAACATATGTAAAAGGATAAAGAATAGTTGATATTAATATGAACTCTATTAACTATGGGTAAAGGGGGCTTAGATAGGAAATATAATGGATATTAAAAGAAGTGAGGGGCTATAGCCCCCTAGCCCCTCCCCCTATGCACTTGATCCCTGTATATTAATAGCAAAAAAGGTTTGAAATCTATAGATCTTATTTGTGATTAGAACTCTTTACCTTGAGTGTAATGTTTCGCCCCATGTAAGGGAATCCGGACTTATGGTGGAGTGCTGGATTAATTCCGGATTCCAAGTGTCTGGATTCCGGATTCCAAAACTTTTGTATTGCGGATTCTGGATTCCATATCGTTAATTTTCAGATACTTTCCCTGAAAATCATATTTGATATACTTACCAGTATAAGTAGAATCGTCTATCAATTAAATCAGCATCTAAAATTTCGTGGATTCCGGATTCCCTTACATTGGGCAAAATGTTTTCCCATTACAGAACATGCAGGTCTCTTTCTTTTGGTAATAATTTTCTTTGTTTGAGTTGTATCCATATTCATGTCTCTTCTCTTCTCTGCATATTATGTCGTTTGTTTCAGAATACAAGGAGGCCTTTAATCTATTCGAYAAGGATCGCAATGGCACAATTTGTACCCATGAACTCCGTAACGTCATGCACGCTCTTGGCCAGTCACCATCAGACCAGGAAATCCAGGATATGATAGCATGCTCCGATAAAGATGGTTTGTATTAATTAACAAACTTGTATGTTCAACGCAGTTTTTTTAAGCGCATTTGTTAGGTTTTTATATTTTAAAAAATCGACTTCTAGGGTACCTGTTTTTATGGCTTGCACAATGCGGGCGTTCCATTTTACAATTAAACCAGTTTCTCAAAAAACACAAGTTGCGGCTGAAGAGAGTTTCTGTGCAGCATAATCTCATGCACCGGCAATATATTTTTTCGTCACGTTGCACGAGAAATCGTTGCGTGTAACAGCGACATTTACAGCGCTTCTCAATAACAGCGTGAAATTTGCCATCGTGACGAAGTAGGTTTTGGTGGACGTCAATCAATGCGTTTCCATAACATTCCATAGGCACGTACCCTTTTAAAAAAGCTTTGTGTTTCCCGAAAATGCTGGGAAACACTTTGATTGGCGTCCACCAAAACTCTATTATGTCTAGAAAACTTTTTCACTATTTCGCGCGTGTGATTGAGAAGCGCTGTAACATATATATACTCACTGGCGTTGTTAAATCACGAAATTTGAGGTGCACACAGATAGCTCAGTATACACTTTGCATGTTAGGTCAAAGCAGCTCCATCTGGGGGACAAAACAAAAGAATTTCAATCTCCTGAGAATTGGAACCTATTGTTTTGTCCCCCAGATTGAGCTGCATTCCAAAGTGCTGCAAGGGGACTATAGCTGGAAGATCGTCGCATCGAGGTGCAGCTAAGCCTACGTTGCTCCGCGGTCTGCGGTGTTGCGAAGAAGCAAGACCTTTTTAGCTTGGTCGTATTTTTCGTTGTTTTTGCATTTCATTGCCTATAGAGTATCATTTCGTTGCTTGCCGATTGCAAATGAAAAACAGATAGTAGGTGCAACGTAAACAACAATGAATCGTATTCTCAAAAGAATGACACGTGCACTCTTTAAAATGGGAAAACATTACCACAAGTTTAATAAAAAGGTCTTTTTAGCTTCTCCTAAAATTTTCTTCAAATTTTGAGTCTTTKGTTTTCGTTACTAAAGGGAGTGGCAATATCGATCTCAATGAATTCCTGCATTTGATGACCTCCAAGAATAAACACAACTTGGACGAAATTCGAATAGCTTTCAAGGTGATGGACAAGGATGGCGATGGGTTTATTTCTTTCTCTGACCTGAAGAAAGCCATGAATGAATGCCATGAGAATCTTTCTGATGATGAACTGAAGAAGATGATCATTGATGCTGACATGGACGAGGATGGTCGCGTAGGCTACACAGGTACTTTTAAATAGATAAATACCTCATTAAGATCGCACAACCCCCATAAAGGCTCTACAGTCCCTTTGCTTTATGCAAATGTATATCGATAGCTTGAAATAAACTCTGGGCTTATATCTAAATCAGGGCACGGCTAACTCACAGATCGGACCCAGAGACCCCAGAGGCGAGAAGCAATCGTACTACCGCTACTTCACCCTTGATTCCGTCAAGAAAGATAGATAGAAGAACGTATCCTGCACGCTGTGGACGACTTTTTTGTTTAGTGCCGCCGTGACAAAATTCGCAAGTAGTCGAATTCAGTGAGAGTTTGGGGAAGTACGACGCGCGCGCCATAGTTTTGGCGGAAAAAGTTGCCACCAATACCATACAAGAACAGTATAGAGAGCCGGAGAACCTTTAGATGCTAGTAAGGGCTTTTCTGTCTTCCAAGAAAGAGGGAAAAAACCCTAGGATTTCTGCAACTTAAATTTATTTTATTGCCGAAAGTAATATATATGACGTGATATGAAAACAAACTCCAATTCCATGATTTTGGTTTTGAACTTCCTTTGCTCATGTACTAATCCCATCTATTTCTGGTTATATTTTCAGAATTTGTTCAGTTTTTCCAGCGAGAATACTAAAATTGCTCAATCACCTTGAATATTTGGTCGGATCAATCCACTATTCTTGTATTACTAAACAATTCGAGTTGTAGTCATTTCATAATTCAATAATACTGTTCTGTACGTAATATTAGATTAATACTCTAAAATAACCCGGTAAAAAAATTTTAAAAAAATTGTGAAAAACTTACTTAACGTAACTACTAAATAATGCCAAAGTGTGCAAATTAAATCCATGTATTGCATGTAATTTATTATACTTGTAGACATTCATTACATTTAGCACTAATTCACTAAGTACCTTTTTATTTTTTCCCCCTTTTTTTATGTTTGTTCGTATGCACTACTCTTGTTGTAATCATAAACGTTGTTTTCGCTAACGGTGTAACTATTATGCAAGGCAGCTGACGCAAACAGCCCCGATTTTCCTTGCACGTTTTTAAAATTGCAACAGCGTTTCCACAGCCCTTATTTCTTCTGCGCATGTTCATGGAGCATGCGCAGTAAGAAACTGACCGGCACTGGGAACCAGATGGTTGCGCCTGGATTTCCACAGAAAAACCCGAAGTATACTTGTTTGCCTTGCGTGCAGTCCCTGGCGAAAACCACTCTTAATTATATCATGGAATGGTGAAAGTACTATTGAAAGTCGTAGTTTGTTTGAGTTCAGGGTAAAAGTTTTTTTAGTCTCAAACAGTGTACCAGAAACGTTAAATCAAATTTGACTGTTCTTCCGTTAAAGTTTAGGCAATGCTCTAATATTTGCCTTTTAAAAAATAAAAGTAAACAATTTGTTTGCGAGTCTGATGAGTATTGAATAATTTAAATTTTATGTATGGACTGATTTAGGCGCGCATACGGTACATCTGTAGATGATGGATTGACTTCCTTTTTCAAAAGTCTACATTCACTTCAATCTCCACGCGCATCCACAGCAATCCTGAAACGCTCGTCTTTACTGAGTCTGGAGGGGAAAGTGGGACTGTTCGCATTCTACCCAATATGTACTTGCTGGAACCTTTTAAATGCAACACAGAAAGCAGTTTTATTTTCTGTGAAACTTTCTCGCGACGTAAGTTGTTAACTTACATGATGCAGTTCTTTCTAAAACTTTTCTTGCGGCGCCTTTGCACAAAGTTTCAGCTAAAAACTTCAAAGTTTGACAGGGCCCTTTAAGAAAGATGCTTGCTAGCCCTACAGTAAGAGCAAAACGATTCATAATCAACAATGAATATTCCCAAGACTTCATTTTATTGAACAGGACATTTTCTTATTGAACATTTATAACATGCTTATGTACTGTTATGGGTTAAGTTTACAAAGCTAGGTTAAAGAACATTCAATCTAAATATGAGACTTACTGACAAAATTGGCCAAAGAAGTTCTTATATACAAAACTTTTGATTTGATTTTAAGTTGAGTGCAGAAATTGACTATCGGGTGACAGAGGCCCTCATGACGGGGTCTATATTATTTCGACTAATATACATCGGAAAATTCATGAACTCAAGGCTTGACAGGTAAAAGGTTTCGGAGTGGAGGGAGGGAATGGTAACTTAAAAGCAGTGCATCTTGTATAAACCTCTATAGGGCATGAAGGTTTGGTAACAGTAATGGTGGTGTCTACTTGGATGTCATCATTTTGACAAACTCTGGAAAAAAGAAAAAGGTGAAGATAGAAATTAGTAAAAATCATAGGATACTTTACCAAGTAATAGTTCACATAGCTGGCCAATTTGAAAGTTTGTATTACTTTGGCTGCCATACACTTCATTGGCTCGCATATGATATAGTTGGTGTGCTGCCTATTGGCTTTTAGGGCTGGTTCAACATAAGCATAAGAAACAGTACTATTGTAATTCTTATGCTTATGCATATGTACGCCCGGTTCCCACTTTGGATTTCACAAGCCTGAGCATAAGCATAAGAAAATGGAAAGTTTCCATTCCTTATGCTTATGCTTATGTTTATGTTAAAGTGTGAACCAGCCCTTACAGACTTAATAAAGATGATCATATAATAATTTGTAAAGTTTAATTAAGTCACCTTCATAATTAACTTGTCCATCACCATCAATGTCAGCTTCTCGGATCATCTCATCGACTTCCTCATCAGTGAGCTTCTCTCCAAGATTGGTCATGACGTGTCGGAGTTCAGCAGCGCTGATAAAACCATTGCCATCCTTATCGAATACACGGAAGGCTTCACGGATTTCCTCTTCACTGTCTGTGTCCTTCATTTTTCTGGCCATCATGGTAAGGAATTCAGGGAAATCAATTGTGCCGTTACCTGGAGGAAAATAGAATACAATATCTTAGACTGGCAGGTATCAAATCTATTGCACAATCATTACTTTAAAGCAAGGCTTTTGTCTGGTATTTGCTAGAGTACAGGGCACGAAATTAACACTCACTCCAAAACTCCAAATCAAAATGCAGTAAAAATATTTAACAGGCTAAGTTTAGCTAGTATGACCAGAGTCCAGAAATTGAAGGACTGAAAAGTATAGAACCATATCATTGAGTAGCTGTTTCTAATGACAAATGTTATTTTTTATCTGCTAAAATTCACTTCTCAAAACTCTTCAGTGCAATAATTACTTATCACTACTGACTAATCACTACTTACCATCTGCATCAACTTCATTGATCATGTCCTGTAGTTCAGCTTCAGTAGGGTTCTGTCCAAGAGACCTCATAACTGTGCCCAACTCTTTGGTGGTAATGGTACCATCACCATCCTTGTCGAATAGGGAGAAAGCCTCCTTGAATTCTACAAGAAAGAAGAGAGCAGAATGGATTTAAGAAATGAATTCAACTTTTTAGACTAACTGAGTACCTATTTCATTAATTCACTTTTCATCACCATCAGTATTGCAATTCTCCGTTCGACAGGGCCCATATTATGGCTCAAAAATCAAAATAACTCATAAGTACAGTATCCTACAATATGTACATGTATGAGAACTTACCAGCAATTTGTTCTTCGGTCAGTTGATCTGCCTAAAAAAAACATGTACTTCATGAGTAATGGCTTACATAATTATTATACTGCAGTGTCAAGGTTTAAATGACTTTTAATGGTTTATTTACAGAGCACCTTGCACTATACGATTCTCTTATGCCTAAAATGAAACCTATTTCAAACATCATATTAAGGCTGCGTTCATAATGTATGGCAGAGGGGGGGGAGCAGGTGAAATTGAGGGGGGATCCAGAAAATTTTGGTAGGAAAAAGGGGGATAGGCAAATTTTTATCAGAAAAATGGGGCACTGCACAATTTTTGGAAGAAGTTACAAGCCTTGCTTAGGGAGGATCATATTTTTTTGCATGACTTTAAGTGGGTGTTAATAATTATTATTCTGGACATTTCAATTGTTCACCTGCTTCCCCCTTCTGCCATACATTATGAACACAGCCTAATGTGCCAAAAAGAATAGTCTGGGTCCAATACGATGCCAGTTCAATATTGTATGATCAAAATGTCAAACTAAATTATCATTTTTCTCTTGTGCTTTATCATTTTTACCAGCAATGCAGGCAAATATGTTATCAGTATTTGATTTAAATACTGTATATACAGCCTATAAAAGCCCTTTCCCTTGGGAGCTCTTAGTGGTAAGGGTTTTTATCCAATTTAGATACCCAGTGATAAAAAGTGTATTAAAAGTAGCCAGGTAAAGATAAGGGCTGGCAGTTACACATAATGGTGGTATATCACCAAAAATTTAGGAATATTAAACAGTTTAAATTCAAGCTTTTGTATTACAACTTTCTTCAACTTCATAAAACATTTTTATTAAGTCTTTCAAAATTATCTCAAAAACCTCATTTAGCTGCACTGACTCTGAGCTCCAAATTCTCTTTAGACTACATCACGTTAATTTTTATTTTCGTACTGCTTTAATTTTTTTTCCCCCTGATGTGAGGCAACTACTCCAAAACTTGAACCCTTTTATTAACAGGTGTATACAGGCAAGCAAATTTAAAACAAGGGTTATACTGTATAGATAGTGTAATGAAGCTTAATTTTAAGCTTTGGCATAAAATCATGGTCAAATTGTAGCTGATTTATTATTGATGATTTCTCTCAACGCTAAATATCCCTATCTTTGAATGGCTTGAAACCACATTTACATAAAATATGAGATCAGTATTTGTTTAGACTGGTTATGATAAACTGCATTTATTCAATTTTGAAATGCCACCACTTGCAGTGTTTGGTAAGGTCCTTAAGAAAAATGTTCAAAATATTCTAAGTGACAAATCATAACTTTAATTCATTACAAAGGAAACATCATGAATAATCAACAAAGCCATGACAAATAATTTGAGTTTTAAGACAATCAATAATTCACGAGCATTTTGAGAATAATCCTTCATGAAGAACATGGAGCCCTTTTAAATATATCTTGGATTGGAGGCTAACAGGAAAAACATAGAAATGGCACAGATTTTATTTAGAAAAGTAGGATTTATTTTGCAGTTTTTGTCCGCCATGCACCAGGGTAACTTTGAAAGGGGTCTACAGATTCTTTCCTTAATTTTTCTTTCTTCATATTCTTATGTATTGTAAATACAAAAGCTTGACTAACACCCTTCAATTCAAGCACCAATGAATACAGAAGAACTTCTAAGAACCTTGGAAGTCCATTCATTTATATATCAGGATAATTACTATACAGTAAAAACTATGGTAGCAGCTAGAATATTATTACCTAAATAATGATTAAAAAGAGAGAAAACAAAACAAAAATATATATATTCAGATCACATGCAATCTTCCACTTCAATGACCACAAAATATTTTTAAATTTTATATAATTTAGATATTGATAACAACTCATAAAAACATACATTATCAAAAACTTAATATATATAAACAACTTTGTTTTGCCTGGATAAAGGTTATCATAAGTTAAAAATAGAATCAAAGTTTTGGAGGGAGGGGATAAGTTCGAATTATTTTGTACAAAAAACTTTTTCAAGCTCAAAAATTTTATAAAACATTCACAGAGAATTTTGAACATTATTATTAGCGAGTTTTTATTTGACTTCTTCAATTTCGTAATATCCAATGATCATTCAAACTATGAATATTAATTTGACAAATATGAAAATATCTGTCAAGTTATATCTCATAAAGAAAACTCTTTCTCATTTAAAAAATAGGCAAAAAACAAACACTATGTGAAGATATGACCCTCAAATCTATGAGATCGACAATTTTTTGGTGTCGAAAATTCAAAAAAAAATTGCATTTTAACCTCGGGATATGAGCTCCAAGCTAAAATTAATGCAGAGTTTAATCTACATATTCCCTCCCAAAATACACCACAATCGTCAGAATAAAAGGAAACTTGAAAAACGTCCGGTGGAGGAGAGATAACCTTGTATTATTTTTTTTCCTTGATTATAAAAACGATTGTTTAAACGTCGTATTTTCTAATACATACTTTTGACAATACGGAATTGGTTTTTCAAATGTTCAAGTTATTTTGAACTATTTCGAAGACGCGAAAAGTTTCTTTACCGACTTAGTTATTGAAGTACACTCAAAGATTAACTGTGGGGAAAATACGAGGATCATTAAAGTTGAATTTCTAGTAATTTCGATAAAAATTGGAGCTCGTTTTTGCAATTTGTACAACGAACAACGAAGTTTAAGCGTTCTACATTCGCTGAACAAATCGTGTAAAGTTTTCGCCTTTTAGCCTGATTTTAACTTTGATTTGCTTGTGATTCATAAGAAATGTGTAGCTTAATGTCATGAGAGAAGGAATTTAATACTTACCATTTCGAAAAAGTATTTTTTCTTGGGATAACTTTAGGCTAAAATATGTTCTGATCGAGTTGAACAGAATATTCGAATGTGAGTAATGTGCGGTGCCTTGCTACATTCGACTCTCCTATTGGCTGAATCCCAACAATAACCACCCCTTATATGGAAAACAGAAAGTATAAACTGCGTCAACCTGCGGCAAAAATAAGTGTTATTTCCAATTCAAAATTCAAAGTTTATCACTTATTTAAACGGGAAAACAACACCGCTCATGCGAGTTCAAGCTTTAATAGCATGACTTTGGGGTGATCAGATATGATGGGGTTTGGTAAGGATTTTCTTGGAGTCCCGTGAGACGCAGAATTGTCTGCATCATTTCGCCCCAGCTGTTCACTCTTCGTTGTCGGCCTCGTTGCCCCGGGAACGATCCTCCGTTTTTATGTAAATGTAATTGGATGAGGAAACTGCGGCAAACTATTAATATTAATGAAAAACTGCGTCAAGACGTCATGATTATATGCGACAAAATTTGACGCAGTTTATTTATAAAGATGATATTCTCTTTGATTGGACTTTAAAAAATTCCGCAAGTTTCATAATAAGAGATTTTAAACATTTTAAATTTTCTTTTACGCACAAAAATCTTGTGTTTTAGAGAACTAGTTTATTTATTTATTTATAAGTCGTATTCTGATTGGTCAAAATAGGATTATTTAAATTATTCTGCGTCAAAAAATTTCAGATGCGGCAAACTGCGTCAAAATGTATGCAAATTAGCTGCAGCAAAATTTGGGACTTTTTTCACTGCGGCAAAAACGTCATAAAACTGCGTCAACCCGTAACCCGAAGCAAAATCCCGTGAAATACTCGAAATCTTTCTCAATGATTTGTGGCGTAAAATAATATTTTTGTGTAAAATACTTTTCAAAACCGTACTTAGTGAATTCTGAGTTCTATCGCTGGCTTAAAAATAGAGTATTTTTCTTATTTCATATCAATAATCTGGAGGCACGTTTTGGAATCTTGCTTTAGTGACAAAGGGATCCCAAGCTTCATAGATTTCTTAGAACATAAGAGACGGCATGTGAAAGAAAAATTAAAAATTCACATTTTTCATCCTTTAAAAAAAACGAAAATCAAGAAAATATCACAAACGATCTTTAGGGGGATTGGTAAGTACCTTTCGTCACTTGACAGTACCATTTTGTCACAGTCACGTGCATAATTACGTGGTGTGACGGGTGAAGAACTGTAAAAGTGGAATACTTTTTGGTACACTCTATACAGTATTGGCTGTGTGGAAAAATAAATGCAAATCTAGTGGACGTTTGCTCACCATACTTCCGATCCTGCGCCTCCTAAGAGATAAGTGGCTCAATTATTTCAGCACTCTCGCATCCCTACCCACCCAACCCGTCAGTGGCGAACTAAGTAAAGGCTAAGCTGATGAAGTAAGCAGGGACGGATCCAGGATTTTGTTCAGGGAGGGGTGCTTCACGCGAAGTTAACCAGGGAGGGGTGCGACCTCTTAGAATCAAAGGAGAAAAAGCATTATTTTGTATAGGTTATCTTCGAAGTAGAGGCACAAAGTCGAACCAGAATCCGCCCCTGGTCAGTCACAACTCCAATCAATTTTGATCATTAATTCAACCTCGATATTTGTACAAAATGCATATTTTAAATCACCAACATAAAATCTCATAATTTTTATTAAAAAATTCAACTTTTTATTTTAATTTATTATGAATTACTATGTATTATTATAAATCATTTTTAGCGAAATGTACAAGCTTTTTACAGGTTCAAATTCAAGAGAAAATTAATTTTTATCACTCTTTTTGACGGTGATATCGGGGTCGATATAAGCACCACGGTGATATCAACGTCACACAACATTACATTATTCACCATTATTGTCACGCAATTGACTGAAACGTGTTATACATTCTAGGCAACACAGGAAGCCCAAATCCAGCATTTCTAGCTTTCATTTGTTTAATCTTGCTACTTCGATGTCATCATGATCACAAACTCTGCAACATTCATTAAAAATATCAGGATAAGTATAAGAGATTAATTTCGCTGTAATATAATTTTCATCATCTTTTTGGCATTTGAAACCGCCATAACAACTAGAAAGACAGGAAGATCAATCATACAGATCCCACAAGGAACGCCTGGCTACGTAGGCTGACTCGGATTTCCAGCGGCCGGGGTTTAGTGTGCCCGTGTACTCTCCCCATAACGCGGACACACGAAAACCGTGTCGTATAGCTACTTCCTGTCAAGGAAATACGGAGCATGGGTGGGGACGGGACGGGAACCGGACGGAAAGTGGTCCAAGTGCCAGGCTACTCCCCAACCTACCGTCATAATCCACTTGTCCATCCCCATTAGTATCAGCCTCTTTGATCATTTCCTCCACTTCCTCATCTGTGAGTTTCTCTCCGAGACTTGTCATGACGTGTCGGAGTTCAGCGGCACTTATGAAGCCGTTGCCATCTTTATCGAATACTCGGAAGGCTTCTCTAATCTCTTCTTCGCTATCTGTTTCTCTGATTTTTCTGGCCATCATCGTCAAAAACTCAGGGAAGTCGATCAACCCATTTCCTGTTATTATAAAAAAATTGATAATCTTTCTGTCAGATAAGGACCAGCGTGGCCGGGCATTAACATGTGAAGTACGAGAGGTTAACTGGATTATGACAAGGTTTGACGATACGGCAGCCAACTTGCAAAACTAACAAAGATGACGAAAAACCTAGAGTTTCGTGTGTCTGTCTTTATTTTATAATTAAAGGTGATCGATCTTTTGTTGTATTCTCATGCGCGTGAGCTGTCATCAACGTCACTGTAACAAAGCTTAAACTTTGCCCCCTTGGGACGCCCCATAATGCTTTGCGATTTAGGATGGCCGCCGTATCGTCGAAGTGGTCCATTGGTGCAATGTAGCGTCTAAGGAGACCTTATCTATGTCATATTGTGCAACACAAAAACACTAACCAGGCGTCCCTGTTCTTGAACCCCGCCGAATGTTTAGAATTACTGTAATTTGCAAGTGTTCTTTGATTTCCCGTTATCCCGCTTATAAGCTACGGGCACACAGTGTAACATATGCGTGCCATGTTGTAGACAATGTTGCTGAAGTTAGAATCGTTAATTTTCTACTTCAGCAACATATTGCGTGCAACAAATAATTGCGTCTTGTAACATGGCTCGCAACAAATTGATTGCCTGTAACATTGCGCGCAATGTTGCACCGGTGAGTGTCCGTAGCTTTTGCAACTGACTTTGTGGGTTTAGGGTCGTCACGAATGTTTTTCATGCATGGATAAGCATGACAGCCGGTTGTGTGATGTCTCTATAAGATGAAAGAAATTGTCGTTGTAGGAAGTTACCGTTGCGTAGGCTACAGAGGAAGTTGTGTATAAATCACCCACTCGCGATCGGTCGTCCGATTTCCGCTATTCCCCAATCTTCTTACGCCGACTCGAAATCAATATGTCACAATATGCACACAACCTCCTCCCCACCCCCCCCC